GCAGATTACCCACCATCACAACCAGCCGCAGTCTCTCAGAGCCTCACGCAGCAAGGTTAAAGAGGTTAGCAAGCTGATGTACCAACAAGGATTTTAAAAGCCAGTGTGCAGAGGTGTTGAACAGAGGAAAAGCAATTCAAAGAGGAGTGGGCGGGGGGAGCAGAGAGAAGCAGAGGGAGAGAAAGAAACAGCTTATATCTGTTCTCATGTTAATCCCAGTTAAGGACTCAATAGTTCAGCTAATAGACATACAAGCAAAAGATTACATGTAGAAACACTATGGATTGGGCAAAGTACTTCATGTTAAACAAAAAGATTTTACATAATGATTCTATGAGCATTAATTTTATTTTTTAACCATTTATGAGACAAACACCAGCATTTTGGAACCCTTAACATAATGTCCACTGTGTTGCTGTTGGATGGCCAGTTTTGTCTTGTGAACACAGCTCCACAGATCCATTTTGTCTGTTTTCATTACTTTTGAGACATTTTGTTCTTTTTCCTTTTCTCCCAAAATCAATAGTTTGTCTCTTGTCTGATGCTCTGGAAATTTGCACCCAGTTGCTCTCAAGATAAACATATAGGATTTGATTTCCATGTCAGTTTAATACCTGACATACATATGCAACTGATTGGCATTTAACCTGATATATCTTGCCACAGTGCTAAATTTCGCTTTAAAGTCAAGGTTCTTGTCCCTGAGGTGTTCATATTATGTATATTATCCATCCTAATTATTATCCATATTATTTCCTGCAGAGTTCTGCTGCATGACCATAAAAAGCTTGTTAGCATTAGTATTTCTCCATCTTTTCCCCTGCAGCTTGACCTTTACACTATGCTTCAGGACACTTACTGTTCCTGGTCATCTTACTCTTATATAGTGAGCTCTTTTTTAAGAAGTGCTGACTAAGGACATGTTCTTTGAATATTACATTTTTCCTCAGCAGCAAGGTGTTGAGACAGTGCCCAAGCCTATCGCTCAAGCTCATAATGGAAACCGGAGACCAGCAGCTACAAACATAAATATCTGTGGATTTAGTACTGTGAGACACAACCAGCAGCAGATCAATACAGGGCAGTGAGAGAGAGGTAGGGTGACCATGGGTAAAATGGTACATACACACTGTCATGGTGGTGTTACCAGGACACTTTACCAATACTACACTCCCATGTAGAAATGATTCTACATGATTCCAACCTTTGCTCACATTTCAAAAACCAATTTAAATAACATAAGTAAATAATAAATAAATTGCCTTGACATGATTACAGCACATAACAGGCACATGGTCCAGCTGTCACATTGCATTATAATTAGCAGGCTGAGTTGGTCAGAATGTTGTTAGCTGCTGTTTATGACCCTCTGCCCAAATCAGCACCATGGACAACGCCTCGTTTTCAAATGGAAGACCATGATACAGGGCCGATCTAATATCAGCACCATGGACAACTCCCTTGTTTCTGAACTATAAGCTGTGAGAGAGTGTTACTTCAGTGATCTCCAATAAACACAATTCCTAATTTTTAGAGAGAAGACTGTAGCTCAAAACAAACCAAAAACCAGCATCATGGACAATTCCTACAGCAGACTATAAGAGAGAGATGCGCTAAAGCAGATCCTAAATCAAAAGCATGGACAACTCCTCATTTCCACATGGAAGACTGCAGTAGAAAACAGATTTGAAGGTGATCCCATTTCAACACAATGAAATGCACAAATTCTTATGGGATGCCATTGGAGTTGTAACAGACAGTAGTATGTAGCCACCCTGGTAAGTTTCTTTTGGGTGAGGGCAGCTCTAAAATATAAGTAATGTTTGAAAACAGACGTAATTTATGTCAAATTCTCCTTATGTAAAAATGACACATGGAAGATGGGTAAATTATAACATATCTGTAGAGCAGGTGTGGCAAATGTAGAGAAGCCCAAGAATTTGAAAAACATCAATTCAAGTGCAAGACAAGCTCTCCTCTAACTAACAAAAGAAAATGTGTTGACTCTATTCAAAAGCTGTAGACACATTACTGTATTACTTTATAGAATTTACAGAAGAAAGAGAAGGCAGAATTAAAGATGTAAACCCAAGGTTGAATTATGACACTGCTGACACTGGTTAGAGTGAAAAATCTTACAAAAATATGACAGAGAAAGCCCAATCACATAATAAAAAATAACATGTAGAAATGGAATAAAACCATCAGTGTAGAAAAAAATGACCAAGGACTATTATGATGTTTACAACAAACCCTTACAATAAGCTTGCCAAGATGCAGAAATGAGCAACCAACTTCTTCTTTTTTTAAAAATAAAGATTTGCCTGTGCTGAGAGTAAAATTAGGGGCCTGTGACTCAGTGAAGGGTTCACTCTTGCTATTGCAGGGCCATTTTAATTCAATTTAATTTAATCCAATAAGCTTTATTTATCCCTGCAGGCATTTTTTCATGGTGGATAAAATACATTAAAACAACACAGACACCATAAATATAAAGCGTTCACAAAACACTTACTTCAACAGAAATAGATTTCTGGTAAACCAAGGTTTACCTACTGTAGTTACACAAGCTAAAATGCTATTTACTTTTAATTATTTTTAATCAAGGCTTAAAAATGTTCAGGCCAAATTAGCTGTAAACTCCAAAATTTTGAGGTAGGTATGATGTTTGGTCACACAACAAAGGCAGTTTAGCCCTAGAGGACAAATAAAAAACATGGCTGCAATTATCAAACATTATTAAACACCTCAGATATGATGACTGATTAAAACAAGACACTGAAACTTATACAAAGTGGAGCTTTAGTGCAACTCTTTTATCTATCTACACTTTCTCAGGTGCTGTCATATCTATCTATAGTTGCAGTGGAGTATATTCTTAGCTATGTCAAAGTGAGCTGCAGCCCCTGGGTTAAATCAACACACCTGCCAGACATACCCTTCTCAGTTATGAGAGATCACAGATGAGCAACCTGAGGCCCAAATCAATAGTGCATCATCTGTGTTTTACTGTGTGGATTTCAAGCCACTATCTTCTACTTGCATTTGCTCTTTCCAAGGCATTTAAACATGGTGATTCAGTATATGGCAATTCTGTGTTAAAGAAGAGCTGTCACTCTTTTTCCAGTGGGTATCTATAAAGTTTTAGAGAAGAAACAACCCTTCTCACAGCTTGCTGCATTGATCCCTCACTGTCTTTTCTCCTTTTGCAATTTAGTTTCAGTTTCTAGCAATCCATTAAGCATTTTTCTGTTTCTCTTTTAGAAAGGTCAATCTCAGATTTGCAACCGAACCCCATATTATGTTAACAATTTTATGTAAATGAAAGAGTTATCATTTTAGATTTTAGATTTCTAACACATTTATGAACAACATGAAGTGCTCATTTATACACACAAAGGAAAAATGTACCTGTGGGGTTGACTTTTATTAATGAGTTTATAAACAATCACAATCAAGAAAAATCCAGTATAGCATAACAAAATGGCCAGTTTTAATTCACCATCACCTCAGTGTTTTTAACATCATAAATTAAACAAAGGCTCTGTAGTTTTATACACATACATCAGAAACTGAAAAATACACATAAGCAGTATATGATATTAAATGGTAGAGATGTAAAAAATTAGTATACACTTCATATGCACACAACAGTGATAACTATGTTTTTGCACATCTATATATTGTGCAGTCTTCAGACGATTTCTTAATGATGCTAAATTTAGAGTGATATTTTGCCCATTATGGCCCAATAAAACATTGTTGCCCACGAATCATTTCATGTTAAGCAACGTGTACCCAGTGATTTGCTCAGGCTACTGTACAAGCAAGGCCAGCTATCTCGCCCATGTGACAGACATTTGAAGTACATCAGCTCCTCCCTCTCTCTCTCTCTGCAGCATGTGGGTAGAAGAGACATTCAGATATCACTGAAACTCCTGTAGCCCACAGCTTGATCACAGTCCCCCAGCAGGGGTTGTAAAGTACCACGACTTGATAATCTGTGCTGATTTGATTCTATCTCCTTTCAGGCAGTAGGATCTCCCTCAATGAATACCCGCCGGTTGAAACTATCTGCAGATTCTGTGTCACTGCAGCTCTTTCACAGCTATTCATTTTCCTTGTCGATGTTGAAACACGAAACCACAGTCTGATCCTGGGTTCTCAAACCCCGTCAGAGGAAAGGACAGAATGAATCTGGTCGCCAATCAAGAAGTCACAAACTTCAATAGAAAAATGAGGAGCAAAGTATGATTCTCCTTATTACGTTTAAGTTTTCCACATGTTGTAAGGCAGCAACCACACTGGCTCAATGCTAAGAAATCCAGGAGACCTAAAAATAGTCTTTCATATTTACCACATTAATCTTCCCCTGTGCCCCTAGAGACATTATATTGGGGGGTAAAATCCAGTTATTTTCCCAAAGAGAGTTTCTTTAGTCATATAATATTACCAAGGCATTGCATTACATTATGTATGCGTGTGTGAAGGGGAGGGCTTGTTTGTAACGCAGAGGAAATTTATTGCATACCAGTCTATTTCACTGAGATCATAAGAATGTGTGAGGAAGAAATATCAGCATTTTGGGCTCATAACGCAATTCTACTGTAGAGCCACAGCTCACAAATGGAGAAAGAGCAATATTCCACCACATTCCTATTTTAATCTTATGCATAAGGTATTTATATACCAGGGACACATATGTCATAAGTAGATACATACTGGATCTCAGTTGCTCATGCTTCTTAAATTTCCATATAGTTTGTGCAAATACTGCTATTTCTCAGCAAGTTTGAATGTTCTCTGCAAAATTTGCGAACACTTGCCATCATTCAGTAGCAAAAACTCAAGCCTGTAAGCCTGAATATATAAAAAAATGTTTTTGTATTAATATTTTGTATTTAATGACAAGTCAAGGCCTATCAGTCACATCAGCTTAGTCTGAGCTGTCACATGATGTGTGCTCAAGTTTTAGTTCCTTTTCAGTAAGTTTTATGAAAAAATTGTGGCAACCAATCAGGACATTTAAGAGACATCAGAGAGTTGTGTAATTTAATGTTTTTATTCATTTAGTGTTAGTGTCTTGCTTATCTTTTTGGGGAAAAAACGGACTGTTAAATGTCCCTGAATCTTTGCAGTATTGTACTAATAAAGTAGCATAATCCTCTTTATCTTACATACTGTGAGATGTTTTAGCTTAAACCATTAAATACGTAATAAACCCATTTTAATAAACCCAGCTTAAATTCTCCTTAATCTGCACAGTTTTCAACATGGTTAGTTGTTATGAATGTGATTATCTTGTAAAAAGCCCACTGGCAATATATCACAGCATGCCTTTCTGAAGAAAACTTGTTCATAGCTCCACATTTTAATGTGTCACATCTCTCAAAACTCATTCCATCTCTATGTTTTTTTCTTTTTTTTTTTTGGATGCTCTGTGTTATTATCAGTCCCAAATGTTGCTCAGCTATCACCATCTTCAAGTCCTCCCTTCTTGCTCTTAGAGACTTATTCAATTAACGGTTTTCTCTCTTATTTCCACAATATTCCAGACCCGATGTTATGGTCACGACTGCCACATAACCTGCTGACTCCTCCCCCTCAGAAGGGGTCTTTGGTGGTTTGTTTGGAAAAGCTTTGCATTCTGATTTTTTCAGCTACCCTGCTCCCTACTCCACTAAGCTGCCTGCTCTGACATCTGTCACAGCAGATTACATCCCACAAGCCAACTAATCTAAACATGTCAACTAATCCCCAACAAACATACCTGGCACATTTGACTTGGAATGATGTGAAGAGCTGATATTGGACTTGGTTCACTGGATTTGATGGATTTATTTCCCTGTATTTATTTTTCAAAGATTATTTTAATGGCCTTCTTAATAGTGCCTTTATCACCACATGAGACCAATTATAGTCCTATTGCCAGATTCTAATCTCATTGTTGTTCTGTGTTCTGTTTCCCACTGCACCAGCCTTAGAAGAAGCCACCTCCCCCCTTTTTATTTTCTTCCAAAACAAAGAAAGAAAAGAAGTCGTGTCTTTAAACCCAAGTGAATGTCTAGCTTTGACAGTAAATCTATTGTTCAGTATCTGTTAAATATTAATTTCAGGTATACTTGTGCCTTATAAATTATGCTGATACCATTCGGTAGCCTCTGGGATGTCTCTGTTCTCATCTAAATGTGGAAAAGATAAAGATAAAGCTGTCATACTGTCTTGTATGGTTGGTTGCAAAGGGAGCAGCTGACCTTAAACTTCCACCGTTTTGGTTTTAGAAATCAAACACCAAAAAAGTTCTTCAGTCCTGATGCTGTTCCGTGCTTGTGCTCAAGTGTAAATCTCTAAACATCATAAGCGGTAATGTGAAGACACAGCTGTGTCAGTACTCAGTATTTTAGTCTATCAGTGATTTTATTCAACATTTAATTTTAGGTTCTAAAGGTTTGTTTGGAAAAATGTTAATTTGTTCTCTGCCAAGAAAACCATTGGCTCTTATTGCTAATCAACTTTTTTTTTTGCGCCTTCCACAGCATCTGGTGTTATGTCCGATAATTAATTTTGGCTTATTGTCAAAATTTATCTGAACGTGCTGGAGATCATCCTGCTCCAACTCTGATATCACTGACTGTGCAGTAACACTAATGTTATAAGTAGCTCTAAAAGGCTCGGGCTCTTCCTCAGCTTTTGGCTGACGCTCTCTTTTTATAAAGGTTGTATTCATTCTTTAAATGTCATATCACAATTTAAATCCTGTTGGCAAGTGTTAAGAATTTTGTCACATAAATTTAAACAAAGCAAAGGGATAAATCTCAACTAGTTAAGTAGAAGCTGTGCTATACAGTAGTTTGTCACCATGATGTAATGTCGAGTGTCCATTCAACATTTTTGGTTGGAACAAAATATAGTATAAATGTGCAGTTATGACAGTTAATTACTATTGTCAGGCTAGTAAACAAAAGCCATAATTTTAATTTTGAATTTGCTACTAAATAAATGGGTAGAGGTGTGCCTGATTTGTAAATAAAAAGCTTAGTATTTATAGTATGTGAAACAATGGACATGTGGTTGGGAACGTACCGCTGGCTTTCATTCTTTGTAGGGAATACTCGTCTCCTTGCTGACCATTCTGGTGAAAGGGCCTCCATTGCATGTCCTCGGCTTCAGCAGTGGAGCTGTTTGATTTGACACAAGGTCACGCAGAGCTCTGACCGACATGCAGTGGAGCTTGTCTGAGCAGCACCTCTCTCTCTGCGCACCTCAAATGGCGATCAGTCATTTGCTAGTTTGCTGCAAAGCGAAAACTTGACACAAGCACCTGATAGACTGACCAGAGGAGAGATGGGGGTTAGTTTTTTTTTTTTTAAATGTACACAACTGACTAAACAGTCACATTACACAGGACATTTTCATGAGAGACTGACATAAATACATGGACGAGAGCTGGTTTTGCTCATGTTGCTGTTCTTTAAAACAATTCTTCTTTACAACTTTAATTGATTACATCTGAACTTTTGCACTAAAACAACATGCCAGCCCTCTGACCTTGAACACAACTAAAGGGTCAGGCAACTAAACTCACAAAATAAAATTATAGTGTCCCAGTATAGTAAAGTCATTTTGTTTGCCAAGGTGTTTTCATTGCTGACACTTCTGGCACCGCCCCCAGTATAATGGAGCTACAGTACATAGTGTTGTTTTAGGTTCTCAAAGGCCAAGAAAAATGACACAGTTTCTCTTCTTTCAGTACCACAACGTGTGACACAAAGTAATCCACACACCTCACTCTGAACAGCTTTCTTTGATAACTACAGTATTATTTTCTAAAGTACGGCCATCAACTGTTTGTGTCTGCGGATGGTCCTGCATAACAAGGAAATTGTTTGTTTTTTCCCCCCATAACCCAAATGCATTTTACTTCAAGTGCTGTGGTGGGAAAATTCATGGTGAGAAAATGTCCTGCCAAAATGGTTTACTGGGAGTAAATAGGAAAACATGTCTTTGTTAGTTATACCCCATAACCGACCCCATCCACCCCCCCAAACAACTTTTTTATTTGTAAGTTTTGTATTGTGCTTATGTTGAGTATAGGCTTAAAGACAAGCATAAATAAACACTGTATAGGCATTACATGGGCATCAATAGTTTGCATACATATGTATAAGATTTCCTACCTTTGAGCCTTTACGTGGTTTAAGACCCTAAAGGCACTGGCTGCCTCCTATCTCAAAGTTAAATGTGGCATGAAAAGTCATTATACAAACTAAGCCATTACCTCTTTTTCCAAGGGTTTAGAACATTTGCATGAAATCACATATATGAAAAAAAAATGATGGCTAGGCAGTTTTCACATTTCACTTCCAACAACTCATGCTTCAGTATCATATGGCAATTACAGACGTGGTTCGCCTCTATTGGCTTAGCCATAAACTTTAATTCTCACATAGTCGTGATTAATCTGATTTTCCGAAGCTTTAAGGGGAGCTTGGCTCCATAACATACTGTATTTCAATTTATATGGGAGTAAAGAAAAGAAAATCATCTTCAGAAGCAGCAAAAAATCATATTGACTGTTACCAGTAGACATTTTCTTTTTCTTAATCAGTGTGCAATTTGTAAAATATGTCCAGCACAACAAATAAAAACCTTATAATACTATATTAGATTCACATACAGCATAACCCCATGAAAGCTTGTGACAATACTGCAGGTTGTTAAATATGCACAATAGCTAAAAGCTAAGTGTAATATTACATTTGTTTGTGGTGCCATTACAGGCCTGTTGCTATAACTGGCATGTAATGACATTAATGTTGACAGTGGTAATTGTGAATCTGCTGACTGCGTAGGAGCTGAGGTGGATCGATACAGACAGCACGTATGTAAATGCAGTCATTAAATCTTTCTCCATTTAGGTACCTGTGTTCAGGAACTAGGCAACAGCTATAGTGAAAGACATGAGGGGTAAATAATTCCCATAACTGAGGAAGGGGGCAGCAGGTGTCATTCTTTGATCTAGACGTAAGAAATATTTTTTGCGAGACTCTGCAGAGGTGATTTCATGTAGTTAAGCATATGACAACATCTGTTGCTGTTGAATGCAAATTTGCTGTTGTCCCACTCACTATCCACAGCATCAGCAAGAGCATGTGTTGCATATTTATTAACTGAGTTCTCATCTGTATGATGGAAATAGGGGCAGGATGCACAAGTGTATTTAATCAGAAAGCCCTAGTATCCCTGAAGCCTAAACAATACTTACCTATGCAGCTTGCATTCCCATTCGTTAATGTGTTTGACCTCAGGTACAGTACTTCCTACGCTGTGTCACAGTCTGATAGTCGGTGTTTGAAGTTAGAAAAAGCAAGGACACTTGCAGAAGTGGAAATGTTGACTACATTACACTATCTGACCTCAATTATTTTCCCCATTGATAAGACCCATTAGATAGAGTCTACTTCCTTTGAACATGGTGTGAGACGTGAAGAATCAAGCTGTTCTGGACTGTATTTCTGAACACGTAGCGGCTCCATCAACAAATGTTTTCACATGAGGAAACTGATACAATGATTTGTCTATGAGGCGCAGAGTCACCGTGACCGCATCTATGGAAAAACATATGAGATGCAGCAACAAAAGATTCTTTTAATATATCTTCTTCTCCTTTCAATTATCTACTCCATTCCCTAATTGATGACAGATATATTCATTACACATCATTATTAACTCAGCAGTCTGCTACAGTAATATGACTTACCAGCTTTTTTGCATGGAGGACAGAAAGTAACCAGCAGCACTTAAATAAAATAATTTACTCACAGCTGCATACTATGAGTACAGCAACACAGTTTGACCAGATTTAATTCTCTATAGCCACATCCTGAGGACTACTTTATTTATCCGATTTGAAAATTATCTTTCTAAATTGTTACACAAATTTCATTATTCAGATAATTTCCCAACAAAACTATTCACAGTGAATCCTTTAAGGGTTTAAGTTGGTGTGGCCGTTAAAATAAATTTGGCTCCCTGTTCTTGTGTGACTGTAAATTTGCACTAAATTGTGCTAAAACGTGGTGTGAACGTGTTTTAACACAAACACAATTTTCCAAATAGGCAGGAAAACTGAGCCCCCTGTCTTCTGCGCTGTCAGTTAATATATCTTATATCAATTATATTATTAATCAGGTAATCAGTGACATCCCTAGCTGACAATGAAGTACAGAACAATAAAAGCCTTATTCCTGTTCTCAAACACGAGCGCATGTTCTCACATGATTTTACCAGTGATAGAACCATTTCAGGTGATTCCTGTTTAGGGTTCATGTTAGGTATCAGAGAAGTGGTCACATAAGTTTGGGTTTACTGTTAAAGGAGCTCAGAGTTCATCATATTAATATTTACAGTAGTTGTTATCACTTCAGAGTTGAGAACCAACACTGAACTTTCAAAATAGTGCTTTTAAAACAATCATTAAAAATTTCAGTTCTTGTCAACTGAATAAATAAAGATTAAAACCCCACAACACGGTGCAGTGTTGAAAAGAGAGGATGGCTTAATCTTTTTTTAACCAAACACTCTGTGTTTTGTCTGTGCTGCTACAGTTATTTTAAACCCCCAGATCTCCAGTCGCTCTCAGCACCAACGCACCCTGAAGAGCATACAAGCTTTTCATCTCCCCACACATCACAACTCCATGCTTGATCAACCCTTGTCTTTGTAGACAGAAGATAGATAAAGACATTTATTGTGATCAAGCACATAAATGTTTTACAGTAAACATGCCCTCTCCCCAACAAGCAGCAAAGCAGATCTCTCCAACTAAATGACATAAAGGAAATGTTTTTCATGACCTGTGAAGATAAGCAATATATCTTCAATTATAAACTTGCACTTAGCTCTTATTATTTCCACTCTGGTAGAAAGTATGCTGATCAGACTAACAGGAGAGTTTATGATAGAAACTTCACCCTCATTGTAATGCCCACAGTGATAAACAACAGCCAGCCATTATCAAGCAGACAGATTTCAGCACACATGTGAAAATGGCTGGGGAAAAGCAATGAAAATTCAGCACCTACAAGCTCTGCAATGGATATTAATCCCTTTAGCCAGCCTCATATTTTTCAAGAAAATTAATTCTGCCGACTGATTTGCTTTTGTAATAACCTAGTAGTATGCCACTACCATGCTCACTCGCCTGGAACTGATAGGGAGATGAAAATATTGATTGAAAGGTCTTCACCGTGTGGCTACAGATTGAATGGATATATTAAAATTTGTTCTCTTTTTTTATTCATATAAACATCTATACAATTGCAAACATAATACAAGAAATATTTGAACTTAAAGAATAAACATGAGGTGGACGTTTGCATCACAGATCTAGATAGAGCAAGGCATGAAGCCTCATAACAAGTCCAAATGTTGTAAATGCATGATTAAGGAGGAACACAGTACTACTGTATATTGTCTAAAGGGCTTTGTGTTGAAATAATGGTGCTTTTATGAGGGTATGATCTGAAGGAAAGTGCAATGAAACAGTATTGGCCTTTCCAGGTGAGCTATGTGCATGACATTTCTCCCATCTGCTGTCTCTAGGCTGCACAAAATGTGATGGCCATACGTCTTCAGCAGAATTGGCATCACACCATATCTTACTCAGTTTGTGAGATGGAGAGGACTTCTTAAAAAAACTAGCTCTTTCTGGTTTGTCATTCACACACACACACACACACACACACACACACACACACACACTCTGTGTGTACCAGCCCCAACTTCATCTGACAGTGTTACATCTATTGTCTGTTCTCTGAATAAATGAAACCACTATGCATTAAGTCTCAGGGTGGTGTATATATTTATTTGCATGACACTGTTATTGACATTATTTGGGGGGGGGGGGGGGCCTGTCAGAGTTCCTTTTGTTTGGTACTTTTTTTTAGCCTAGAATAAGCCAAGATGTCTTCTCATGCAGCGGTACTGTATGTACTATTGTTTATATTATATGTGAGGCTGCCTTGTTGTGTGTCATATTCTGTGTAGATACACTAAGCAGTCTGTCCCAGCACTGCTTTGCATGCATTTTGCAACTCAACAACAACAACAGATGTAGCAATTACAGGCTATAAAAACCATGGACGTACAGTCGAGTCTGTCATATCACCCCATAGGTTTGTAAATAGGTGTTTTGAAGCTTGTATTTATGTTTGCTACTTAGTGTGACAGGGGAGGGCTGAACAATGAACCCCCAGGGAATTATCAGCCTGTAATTTTACTGATTCAA